AGGTATCAGTCTTTCCGGTGGTCAACGTGCAAGGTTGGTTTCTCAAAATTCTCCGATAAGATAAAATATGTGAAATTTATATACAGATCTTTAATTTTCTCAATTTGAAAGAATTATGAATATCTTATGAATTTATATGATTTTTAATTATTTATTTTTTTTTTAGTTAATGTTTTATCTTGTTATTTGTTGCTTTATTTTTTATCACAATTATTTTTTATGATTATAAATATTCTTTTTTTATATGTCAAATCTTTGAGTTAAATTTTTATTTTTACTTTTAACAAAATAAATATTGCTAAAAAATTTGTTTTTATTTTTACATTTGATACGTGAAAAAAATTTCGATTTTTAACATTAAAAGTAAATTTACATATATAATTTGCATTTACATGTATTTAATTAAAAATTATAATATATTTAAATTATAATTCGGTTTAATTCTCATTGACATTAAATTGATTTTGTGAAGGATCAGACTTGGTACAAACTCTATTTAATTTTCGTGAGAATTCGCATGCTAATGCGTTAAATAGTTAGAAGCAACATGTTAGTTTTTTATATACATATTGATAAAGCATTGGTAATTTGCAGAATAAACTTGGCGAGAGCTGTTTATGCCGATGCCGACATATATCTTATGGACGATCCTTTGAGCGCCGTAGACGCCCATGTAGGCAAGCACATGTTTGAAGAATGCATCGACAAATATCTACGAGGCAAAACTCGAATTCTCGTGACTCATCAATTGCAGTACTTGCGAAACGTCGGTAGAATTATCGTCCTGAAGGATGGAGCTATTCAGGCTGAAGGGTATATATATATATATATATATGTACTTTTTTAATTCACATATTTTATTATATAATTTTGTTACAACTTTTTAATGAGTAAGAGGATTGTCATTAAAATTTGTTGTATCATTTATTTTGTTACTTCATAATTTCTTAGCTTTATTCTTAGCTTTAGCGATTTCTGAATTTTTGAATTTATACCAATATATTTTAAATATTTAAAACGTCGTAATATTTATATAGTTTTATATGAAAAATAAATTTCTGTTCATCAGCACTTATGACGAATTGGGTTCCATGGGAGTGGATTTCGGTCAGTTGTTAGAAAATCAACCGAAAGCGGATGAGAAATCTTCTCGGCCTCCTTCGGCTCCCGCTAGCCGAAGTAATTCGCGTACTGGCAGTATTACATCACTGAGCTCTTTCATGACGACCGATGCTTCGAAACAGGAACCTGACGAAGTAACTCTAATTTATTTTTTGTAATGAAGCAATTACTGATACTATTTCATTGTTGTATTATAATTTAAAATTGAATTATAAAAATTAATATAGACATTTTATCTTTTTCCGAAATTAGATTTTAATAAATTAGAAAAAGATTATTATTACTAATAATTAAATAAGCGAGCTTCGTGTGATTAACAATATAAAACTATTAATGTCTCGAAAATGTGAATGTCCTTTTCTACTATTTCATTAATTAAAATAAGTTTTCATTTTAAAAGTTATGATCAAACGGAAAATATAATTGTTGATTTTAGGTGGCTGAAATGCGATCAACGGGCAATGTTTCCGGCAAAGTATACTCTGGTTATTTCCGCGCCGGCGGCAATTGGTGCATTATATTCATAGTGGCTGTGCTTTGTATATTGACACAATTAGCGGCTAGCGGCGGCGATTTCTTTATCGCACGATGGGTTGACATAGAACAAACCTACGTAAGTGTGTCATTATACACTAATTTGCTAAAATAATCAACGAGTCACATTGTGATAGTGTTGCATCACTTTCCAAAAGTTTCTAGAGAAATCTAAAGTCTTCAGATTAAGAACATCTCAATGTCTTATGTTTGTTCGAAAAATCAATACGCCTTTTACGCATGATGAAATAAATGATATATTCACATATACAAATGTCAATTATACTAATACACTTACTATTTACTTCTTATATCACTCTTTCAATATCAGCTTGTGATTGCAGTAAATTTTGTGTAGTAAATTTTTACGTTTGTTTTAATTAACATAATTTACATGAATTATAAATTATTAATTGTATAATTTTACAGGTGAATCAAACGGAAGATGGTATCGTGGAAGACCCGAAGAGTCCTCTTTCCCGCATAACTAGTATCTACATCTACACGGGATTAACCGTGTTGACGATCGGTATCACTCTGATCCGATCGTGGGCCTTCTTCTGGACGTGTATGCGCGCCTCAATGCGACTGCACGATCGTATGTTCCGAAGTATCAGCCGTGCCACCATGCGCTTCTTCAATACCAATACGTCGGGACGCGTTCTCAATCGCTTCTCTAAGGACATGGGCGCAGTGGACGAGATGCTGCCTACCGCGCTCATCGATTGCGTCCAGATCGGCTTGTCACTGCTCGGCATCATTGTCGTGGTTGCCATCGCGAATGTATGGCTGCTGATACCCACGGTACTTATCGGCATTGTCTTTTACTACCTGAGAGTTTTCTATCTGACCACCAGTCGTAGCATCAAACGTCTCGAAGGCGTCAGTGAGTATTTTAAGTTTTTGGAATAGACACACAGCTTCCGTGATAGAATAACTTCAATCGCAAGTTTGAAGTAGATCATAGTCTTTTATGGCTTGTGCATCGTTTATTAAGCTAAGTTTTTTAATTTTAATTTTTCTTAGCTCGCTCGCCGGTGTTCGCTCATCTGAGCGCGACCCTTCAAGGGCTACCGACGATTCGTGCGTTCGGGGCGGAGGAGATTCTCACGAGAGAATTTGATAATCATCAGGACCTTCATTCGTCGGCATGGTACCTTTTCATCGCGTCCTCTCGCGCTTTCGGCTTCTGGCTGGATATTTTCTGCGTGCTGTACATCGTACTGGTCACGTTGAGCTTTCTCGTGTTGAACAATTATAGCCCCGGCACCATAGAGGCCGGATACGTAGGATTGGCGATCACCCAGAGTATTGGTCTCACCGGCATGTTCCAGTGGGGTATGCGACAGAGTGCCGAACTGGAAAACCAGATGACCTCAGTAGAACGTGTTCTTGAGTACAGGTATTCATCTATTCTTTGAACTTTTTATCTCAATGTTGCATTTGTTGATTGCGCTGCTATGTTATGAAATTCTCAGAACCTGTAATCTCTGCACGTTTAAAACTTCAAATCTTTGAAAGCGTTGCATTTTTTTTTTATAAAAAAACATTTCTTGCTATTTAAGAGTCTTAATTTTTAATATCAATATTCCTTTATTTTTTTTTTTAATGTACTTATAGATATTCAAATTTGGAATTTTTTTACTTCAATTTTCTTTGACTTATTTGAATTATTAAATAACATTGCGTTAACGTCCTCCATTTCAACTTTCTTCCAGCAAAGTAGACAGCGAGCCACCCCTCGAAAGCGCCCCTGGTAAAAAGCCCAAGGCCGAGTGGCCGCCGGAAGGCAGGATCGAGTTCAAGGGTGTGTATCTGCGCTATGCACCGCTAGAGCCGCCCGTACTCAAGAATCTCAACTTCGTTATTTATCCGCGCGAGAAGATCGGCATTGTTGGCAGAACCGGCGCCGGCAAGTCGTCCCTAATCCAGGCGCTTTTCCGTTTGGCCGATGTGGACGGCGTGATTGACATTGACGGCATTGATACGAGTCAGATCGGTCTGCATGATCTGCGCTCAAAAATCAGCATCATCCCGCAAGAGCCGTTCCTATTCTCTGGCAGCCTAAGGCGGAATCTCGATCCATTCGATTCGTACACGGACGACCCACTATGGCGAGCTCTCGATGAAGTCGAGCTGAAGGAAATGGGCTTACAGGCGCACATCCACGAAGGCGGTTCCAATCTCAGTGTCGGCCAGCGGCAACTAGTCTGCCTGGCGCGCGCTATCGTCAGGAACAACCCGATACTTGTGTTGGATGAAGCCACTGCGAATGTAGATCCACGAACAGACGAGCTGATCCAGACGACGATTAGAGAGAAATTTGAGCAATGTACAGTGTTAACGATTGCTCATCGACTCAACACTGTCATGGACAGCGATCGCATCCTGGTAATGGATGCTGGCAGCGCGGTGGTGAGTCAGTATTTTTATGGTTTTTATTTTTTTTTTTTTTTTTGTTGTGTATTTGTGGAATGATCTATCGAATGGATGGTAGATCGTGAAATCCTTCATTTTTTTTATTTTTTTTTTATGATTGTAGAAAAACATGCAATTACATTAATGAATTTCTCGATCACTCTTATGACGCACTTTCATTTCCCATTTTCTAAGAATTAATTTACTTTTATGATCATGCAAAAGCGTTTGAATATATTTTATGATTTCCTACGAACTTATATTCTTCTCTGATTATTCTTATGGAATCTCGTTAAAGTAAAGAAGTTGCTTAGCTGCCACGAGACTGCAGAATACTATTAGATAACACTAATAATCTTCACAACACAAAAGTGCTGGTAGTACCTATCCTATTTCATGCCGCGTTATAAATCGTCAGCAAGAGTGATCATGTTTCCATCATTCCACGTATACGCTGCGTAAATATTTTATACGTGACACATATCGAGCAGCAATTTCACTGTGAAGGATATGGTTTCTCGTAACCAAAGTGAATCGTAAATCGCGAACTCTCTCTCTCTCTCTCTCTCTCTCTTCAAAGACCGACTTTTATCGTTCGCAGGAATTCGATCATCCTCACTTGCTGCTAGAAAAGGAGACGGGCTACCTGAAGAGCATGGTACACGAGACTGGCAATGCAATGGCGGAAGCCCTGACCAATATCGCTCGCCAGAGCTACCAGAATCGCGCATTTTCAGCGCTCTGATGCACCCTCGATGTTAATTTTTTCCAATGGCGAATACCATGATAGGTTACCGTCGATTTTTTACGAGTGGATCCTTAGGTAAAATCCTAGGGAAGGAAACTCTGAAAAAAAAAAAAAAGAGAAAAAGTGCAAGTAAAGTCGATTTGGAATTTTTTTTGGCGTCCCTGATGCTAAGTCTTGAAAGTTGTGAATGAAATAGAATTTTCGTGTAAATAGAAACGTGTAAACGAAAGTGATAAGAAATCACTCTTCGTAGAATCTGAAAATTTGGGGGATTGAATTAAAAAATGGGTAGGGGAGAAATATGTATACGATTTGGATATAGGAAAACTTCAGGGTTTTAGGATGTCGTGCGAGTGCAGTCTAAAATTGTGATTAATTAAGATGAATTAAATACGTGGAAATCTAAAATGAATTTGAAGGGGAAAGAGGGAAATAAGTAAATAAATAGAGAGTTTATTAATTCTCAGTTTTAGAGAACTGTTTTATGAACTCGAAGTTTCGGGAGGATAAATATGTAGAAAGAATTTAGAGATTTAAAGGAGGTTTCGAGGTCTCCTTGGAAACGCAGAATTGTAGGACCGAAGTGAAACTTTCGTCGGCGGAGTAATAAATTAATCGTTTTTATCGCGCGTTACACGGTTTCGTCTAACTGGTCTCTTCTTTTTTTTTTTTTTTTAATAATCGCGGGTTCTCTACTCCTTTGATATAACACGCGAGCTATGCCGATGCATGCCAGCGCAGCAAGCAATCGGAAAATCTAAAGCTTGCATGAATTGCAGCGCAACCGTAGTTACAGTATTATTACGTCATTTTTGTATCAACTTGACCCAGATATTCCACCAGAAAGGATGAAACTCAACCCATTGGATCACCGATATATATCTCTTATTGATCGTCAACGACCTGCTATACAGGCGCTTTTAAGGATGAATTTTTAGTATATATATATATATATATATATATATTTATAGTTTCATATTTATTTATAGCTAATATGAAATTTAATCAATTAGAAATGTACGAGAATATAGATATTAGACTCAGAAATGCGAGAGAAAATCTAAGAAGGATATGAAAAAAAAATTAAATTGTTGAATTCCTAGATTTTTCCTCCTTTCTGGAAATCAAGATTTAAAGAACTTAAATTTTAAGAAATCTTAAATCTTGACTATTTCTGTTTAATTAAAAAAGAGCTAGAAATTTTGATGCTGTTTAAAATCTTGAATCTTTAGGCTTGAATTGAAAAAGTTCGAAATGTAACTTGCTTGACATTAATCATGAAAAAGTCGTATTCTCGATCGATGAACCAACGGGTTGAGAAAGAAATCATAGAATCGAAAAAAGAATCGTATTTAATGTAAGACAGTACTGAAGAGAGATTTTTATACTCGTCACATACTTTAATAAATAGATATAAGAGGTGTCCAGAAAGAAACGAGCGCAGCAAAAGTCCGTGATTCATCTTTATCGCCTCGATTTGTTCAGGTCGTCATGTATATCTGTGATTTTGCTAGGATTTTATCATGTTCCTCCAGTTTACTGGTGCTACAAATACAAGGGAGACCAAAAAGGAGAGGTGCCTCTATTCCAAGTTTAAATGCGAATTAATTTACTTAAATACGAATACTTAAATATAAAGCGCGCTGCGTCATATTTTTTATTATCATTAGTTTCTTATTATCATGTTATTATACTTAAAATAGCGAAACGTAATTGTATACTCAATCTGTAAATAATGCAAGATTACAGGAGAACGAAATCAAAGTACTTAACGCCTTTCTCGAAGATCACGTTTTTTTATATTTTCGAGAATTTTTCGCCGGGTCTAGAAAATAATAAAAATATAGCGAGTGTCTTTGACCGACTGCGTTGTAAAAATAATTTCGAAGCAAATGAAGAACTATTGTTGAAATTTAAATTGAATAATGATATTCATGATTATTTGGCTGAAAAGTAATCTTTATATTTTTATTTTTTTGTTTATTTTATTTTTCCTATTAATCCTTTGAATTATATTTTAAAATTATTAATACTGATAGTTAATATTAATAATTTTCAAATATAATTATTGCAATTTGTTTCTCTTTATATCTCTGTTTTTGCGGATCTTTAATGCTTATATCTGTGATTTTTAATGTATCGTTTCTTGATACGATGTCCTATAAATTTTTAATTTTTATTCTTCTTTATTTGCTCTTACACTTCTTGCTTTCCAAGTCTTAGTATCCTTGTTGCTTAAATATTTCAATCTCCATTTTTTTTATATTATTAATCTTTAGCATTCGTATTTGATTATCTTCAATTCTTATATTTTTAAATATACACATTTATAAACCGACGAAGTGTTATAACACTAGAAATATACATATAAGAAAGACATTTACGATCATTGTTGGATCTTGGTACGTAATAATTATTTTTTGAATTTGTACATAAATTTATTTACGTTACCGTCGTTAAATTTATTACGTCAACTACATGCCATAATTAATGGACATAGCTAGCTAAAGGTAAAGCTATATATCTCCTGTAATGTATTTCGATAATCAATTTGATGATATTGATTCAATAATAATATTAAATTGATAATGTTTAAGGTTCTCTCGCGGCGCGACATGGATTGTGTGACGTCAGAGGCAAGAAATGACATGCAAAAAGGTTCTTTCATCGTATAGCTTTATCTTGATCCTTAAAAACATGATATTTTTGTATTCTTAAAACTTGTAAAAAATACCAGAAAGTAAGATATCTGTCCAATAATTCACATAAAAGTGTAAAATAAATCTTGAAATAATGGTACACTGATATTGACTCTCAGAAATTACCAGATCACTAGATCTAGTTGTATCTTACTTTCTGGTATTTTTTATAAGTTTTTTTAAGAATACGAAATATCATGTAAGGGAAAAGTACAAGACAAAGCTATACGACGCAAGAAACTTTTTACATGTTATTTCTCGCCTCTGATGTCATAATTCAATATGGCTGCAGAGAGATAACCGAGCCTTAATAATATTTAATTTCGATTAAAATAATATTTTTCGTAGTAAGACATTTCTGTAATGGATTTTTAATCGATATTGTTAAATGATTATCGAGTTATGGAGAGGGATAATAATAAGAGATATATAATAAGTTACGTTAAATCGATTAATAACGACATGTGGGTTGATGACAGTAACAAAGCCTATTGGATTTATCATTTTTAAAGGGGCCATATGAGAGATTTAATTGTTGCCATTTTTCTATTTTGATTGGTTTTTTTTTTCGTTTTGCTCCGTGTTGTTAGCACAAAAATCGTGTAGTTTGATAGCTTATATATCGTTCACATATGTATATACCTATCGGATAAAATTATAAATTGTATGGATATTTTATTTCGTATTTATTTTTTTTTTTGTTCAATATTTTGTGATCAATTAAATATTGTAGATATATGACTATGTAATTCTTTCTTTCGTGTCATAATTATTTATAATATGATGTAGACACATAGTTCCGACACGAATTAATAGA